TTTTTTTTTTTTTTTTTTACAAGATTTCAGCTTGGAACAGTTTTACTATTCTCAGTGTTGTATAAAGTACCACAAAGTGATACTTGAGTAAAAGTACAAGTATCTTACAAAAAAAATGACTTTGGTAAAGGTTAATGTCTCCTTTAGGAATATTACTTTAGTAAAAGCCTTAAAGTATCTGATAGTTTTTGTACTTAAGTATTAAAAGTAAAAGTATTGATTTAAAATGAGCAGTTAGATTTTCTATAATGAAATTTATTAAAAGGTGACCTCCCCACAAAAAATATGCAGAAATTACTATATCGTATTAAAATAATTTACGTTAAATTTAGGATGAACTAGTCTGTTTCAGTTTATATACATACATCAAAGCTGCCCAAACCTTTTCTCCAAAATGAAAATCTATCTGAGGGCTGTGGCCAAATGTAATAATATAATTCATGAAATACAAATACTTCTTAAGTACAGTCCTTTTATTTTAATGATTATGTGCTGCAGGAGTATGACACGATTTGTTTGTGTACAAACTAATACAATATCAGAATTTTATATATTTATACGTCTCATTCAACCACAAATAAATTTATTATATCAAGAAGGCACAATTTATGTGGATATTTAGTTTTTTACAATAAGCAGCTGGAATGAAAACAAGCAAAAATGAAATGAAAGTAAGGACTCTCTACTTCTTTCCTTTTTTAAAAATGTAAGGAGTACAAAGTACAGATATTGTGTGAAAATGTAAGAAGTAGAAGTAAAAAGTAAAGTACAGATACCCAAAAATTCTACTTAAGTACAGTAACAAAATATTTGTATTTAGTTACTTTATAACTCTGACTATTCTAATAATATTTTAGTTTTTTAATTTTTCCTTGAGTAACATTTCAGCCCCCATATCAGTCCCCATATCAGTTAATCAGAAAGTTTGGCCCCGATTTAAACTGCATGTGTTTTTCACACTGACCCTGTCTAAACTGTCCATGTGAGTTCGATGCAGCTGTGAGTGTCTCACCATTAGTTTGTCCAACTCATTTGTTGCCTATTGGGCCCAACGCAATCAAACTAGAACCCTCATCTGAGCCATCCTCACTTCATCCAAATACGCTCCAAAAAACAAGTGCCCACTTTGTGCCATCTTTACAAACGTGTGGGAGTTATCCAGCTCTAGGAAAAACTAAATCCATCTTAATAAATGAAACACAGCTGATGTCAAACTGTCCCTTTTCCAGAGAGAATGCCAAAACCTGGCAGAGTTTGTCCGTAAAGTCCTGGGACCTTATTCCGTCAACGTTACCAGGGCAACCCAGCTCTGCTCAGCCTCCCTTTGCCAGGGAAAGGGTCGATGTGTTCGTCAAAATCCAGACAGCTCTGCTTATCTGCATCTCCCGCCGCAATCCACTGCAGTGCAGAAGGTGACAGAAAAGGTGAGGAAGTGGAAATTTCAATCGATGCAGATTATTAAAAGGCTGGCTTATGCATTATATTCCCCACATCAATAAATGCCTGAAGAAGCACAAGCATGATCTGCCCTCCTAGAGTAAGCAACAGACAGACAGTAACAGCTGGTTTACCTCTTTTATGATGTCTGTGGAATTTGGGTAATATATAAAAATTTTAATATAAAACATAATTGCTTTAAATGTCAGCTGATCTTTTTATTACCTCAACACCAGACCACACTGACTGTAAACTCGTGTCAGTGGTTCCTAATATAAACTTTAGTTTCTGTTTTCCCTGTCAGGACAAGGCCACAGCTCAGCCAGACAGAGCCAGCAAAGCAGCTGAACCAGACCCAGCTGAGATGTGGAAAAAAGACTTCAAGTGCCAGTGGTACAAGACAGCTGATGGGGAAATCTCTGACAGGCAGTCGCCCAAAGATGGAGCTCCTTTGGGAGGAATATCCGACGGGAAAAACGAAGGCACGGTGGCGACTTCAACGGTTTCCATGACAAAAGGAGCCACTGAGACTGTCCTTACAGGAAGTGACTTACCTGATACAGGAAGCCCAACATCTTTACTGAAATTCTCATCGAACAGTTGTACCAATCCACTGACTGCCCCAAATCTCTATATTCTGCTGCTTGGAGCTGTATTAAGCCTGGGACCTTAAACTAAAAACTAAATAAAGATTTCACCCTGCAAACATAAACTCCACTGAAGTGCCCTTTGAAAAGACTGAATCCCTGATTGAGGCTTTGTGCTTCTTTGTAGCTGAAAACCACATCTCCCTTATTCTTTTAGATCCCCCAGGAAGAATAAATTACGTTCAGATTCCGGAAACAGAGTCATGAACATTCACACTCACTCCTGTGGATCAATTTACACCACAAATTAACACGAAACCCCTGCTTTTAAACTGTTAAAAAAAGCTGAGTATAAAAAGCAAACAGCAAAAACATTGAAATCATGCTAAGTCCACACAACCAATCAAAACATGGCTCAGGATAAATAATAATTATTAAAAGTCAATTTTATACTAAACGAACACCTAACATCTTAAAACATTTATGCACAATGTAAAGATCATAAAGGTGCTACAACTTACAAAGGCTGTAAAATGAAGGACTTCTTTTTTTAAGATCTCTGGCACCCCCTGTCAAACTTCTATAAATGACTGAAGAGCTTTTTATGCACAAGTATACATTTTTTTTATTTTACATTTTGTGAAAATGATATTTGCTCATTTAGGAAACAATGAAAAGAGGAAAAACAGCCTAAAGAGGATGTAAAGTCACACAAACATACTGCCATTTCTACAGCTGTTGTTTTCATATTTTCTAATGAAAGCATGGCTGTGCAGATAAAAACAACCCCCTTGTATTTAAACTCTTTTTAAATTAACAATTTCATTGTAAGCTTTTGTAACGTTGCTGTTGGAAATGTGCCTTGGATCAACTGATTTTCTCTTTGACATTAGGTTTAAAAATAAAACATGTACTCACCTTGTCTCTACTGTTTCTGTTGTTTGTAGATCAAATATCCCAGAAAAGTCTCAGAAGTAAATTTAGCCCAAAGAAAGAAAAAAAAAATTCAAATGACCAATGCAGAAAAATTAATGCTAAACACACATTGTGACCATAGGTAATAAAACCATAAATAAACCAATGAAACAAAACAAAGACGCGTACTGTAAACTGTGAAATGATCCCAACAGTGCAGCATCAGTAGATTAAACCAGTGGTTCCCACACTTTTTAGCTTCTGACTTGTAACAGCAACAGAAACGTGTGACAATATTAAACATGACAATGAGGTCGATGAAAAAATGATAAAATGACTACACTCATTAGAATAAGTTTTTCATATTGAACCAACACTTTAATGTTGCAAACATGCGTTTGGCCATCATTGTTTTGGTTCAGTTTTTGTTTCTAAGACTCCAAACTTGATGCTGAGTCTTGAAACCACAAAACATCTGCGGGGCACCACTGGATTAAACAAAAAATATATACATCTTTCACAAGAGCAAATGGGTTGAGGCTAAACTAAAAATTACAGGGTGTCTCTGCCGTCATTGCTTTTTATGTTTAATGTTTCATTTTACAGGCACAGCATTATTCTATGTACTGACCTACATTTCTTTCATTTTTATTACCAAATATATTTCTCTCCAACATTTGCACCCATTCAAAGCCCTAATCACAAGCTTACTTTTCTATGGCTTCTCCTCTGTTCCTTTTTGCCCCACAGCCAACCTGATATCCAAGGACATGCTACGTCCACCTAAAGACAAGCCAAGAATGGCATCAAAAATAATCTTTTTCATTCATTAGATTATTTAAGGTTTATTAGTCCTGATTACAGTATGCTTTTCTTTTCAGACATGTAAAGCTGCTTGAGAAATTTAAAAATGATTTCTTTAAACTGGTTGAATCAAAGCAGAATCAATACCTTCGAGAGGTTAAATTATGAAAGGGAAACGTCTCGTAAAAAAATAAGAATAAAAACATCACACAAAAACAAATTAGTTAACTTTTTTTTATTCTTAGATCAAACTTTTTCCTTTAGCTTTGTGTTAAATAAGTTATCAGTTGTGGTGAATGAATTAAAACAGTATGATGTGTGAAACGTTTCGACACAGAAAATCAAATGATCACAACATGAGCAAAAAATAATTCAAGGTAATCAGATTGACTTTTAGGTGATTTGAGGTACTTTTAATAAGTAAGAATATTTCTGCGACATATAAACTGTGTGGTAGGTGGACTGCACTTTACACAAGTAAAGTGATCTAATTCTCATTTTTGTCAGGCCTTAATAGCTGAAAACTGTGCATACTGCTCATGTCTTTGCCGTGTTTTAAACCCAGAAAACAATGTTCACTGATGTGGTCTGATAAGTGTGGTTTGCACAGAAATGTTTACTTTCATGACAAATTCTGACGCAAACGAATTCTTAAAAATTTCCAGGCTTCAAAACAAAATTACGTGGGAAAAAAAATTAAAATAAAATCCACACTCAGCCTTACTGACAACATCTGAAAGTTAAATCCATTCAGCATCTGAAGCTTATAAATATTTTATTATTTCAACAATATTCAAAGACACTTGAGATACTTCTCATGTTATGCTTTCCACATAATCTGGGATTACACAGCCAGAACAGAAAGAAGACAGATTTTAGCTGAACACAGATGACAGACCGTGGCTTGATTTTAAAGAAGCAGACCTGTAATTTAAAGGTTGACAGCTCCATTTAAATTGACGCAAGAGAATCTGAGTGGATAAAGTGAAACACTCTCAGTACTGACTGAGTTCATTAGACAGCAGACGTTACTGAGCTGGCTCCCGATGACACGGAGACGCAGACTTTTTGAACAAGCGTGCATGCTGAGAAACAAACTAAATAAATAAAAACAGAGGAGACACACACACTCCCACTGCTCTTACTTAGCCTGCAGTGAAAGAATCGGTTGCATAAGATTAAAAAATAGACTTTCTGTTTCAGTGCAAATGTCACGGTCTTTTGAGCAGTTCCTTCTTGCCTCTCCAGAGACAGAAATATTGCCCCCTTCTGGAAAAGAGAGGTTAGTGCAATCTGAACGGCGCTGGCTGGACTAAAACAAATGACACACTCGGGCCAGTGGAAAAGAAAAAGAATGCATGTATCCCCTTTCTTCAAGGATTCTTGTGTGTGTGTCTGCATGTGTGTGTTCAAGGTCTGATGTCCCCAAACAGAGTTAATTTGTAAGATTTTGTTTCTTGAGAACTTGATTAGAAGGAAAGTCGAGACAATTCTTTTTCGATCCCGCATCGCAAAATGGGCCGACTTCAAAAGACGAAGAGAAGAAGAACTACGGGCGGCGATCAGTCAGCATGCCAAACAGCGATGATTCCCAGACTCCAGTGGTGCGCTTTTAATCTTCGCTGCAGTGTGTGTGTGCTACCTGCGGAGGGTTGCGTTGCTTGCCAGCATCCTTTATCAGGACGAGCGTGGCGTCGAGCCTTCGCAGCGTTCGGGTGCGTGTTCGGGCCTGACAGAAGAGGGTTACTTGCAGATCGCCTCCAGGGCATCCAGAGTGCGTTTGATGTCCCGGATCTGAGCAGCCAAAGTGTGTATGGGCTGCATGGAACGATCCAACTCCTCACAGCGGGCCATTAGGGTGTACATGCCCTGAAGTCAAAGTATGTTAAAAACATAAATAAATCAATAAACGCTCATTAAACACAACATTGAATCTGTACAAATTCGAGGACAGAATCTCTAAGACTCCCTACTGTGGTGTGTAATTTTGGGGTCTTTTTTTTTAATCTTAGAGATGATTATGTTTTATAACATAAAGAAAAATTACTTGTGCTTCTGAGCTTCTTGTAGTTTTTCTACGAGGAAGTTAAGCAAAAACAAATCCTGTAACACAATTTTCTGCTAAAATGCCCAATCACGTTAATAACGACACACAAAAAGCTAAAAGTAGTGTTGTAGTACTTGAAACTGGTCTTGGTCTTGTCTTGGACATTGAGGACTGAATTTTATTTCAAGACCAGTCAAGACCACTACTGTGGAAATATCACTATGAAATGCCAGACTATTGTCCAATTTCTTAGTTAACATCTTTGCTTTCATTGGATTTAAAACGTACTGATTAAATCCAAACCTGACTTATTGCTATTAATGTGTTTTTGTTAGCGGTTGTCACTCATCCCCACTCTCTTCACTCGCACGCAGCACTCCAGGAAAGTGAGCAGTGCTTGTCTGGGAGCYATAGATGTCTTCAAAATTTTAAGTATAAAATTTGGCTACATTATTCATAAATAATACCATTGTAAAATAACAACAACCAAGAGAAAGCGTACAGCAACTTGTGCATTCTGCAGTGCTTCACTTTCAGAGACGATGAGGACAACTTTAAACTTTTACCGTCACTAACGTTAACAATCTGCCTCTGTAGCAAAATTCTTTCCTCTGCCCTCAAACAAAGATTTTGTCAATATTAGCTTTACATATTAAGTTAGCTACAGCGGGGATTAAAAGTATTTGGTCAGGACCAGTAGTTCAACTTCTCCCACCTAAAACAATGAGAGAGGCCTGTGATTGACATCATGGTTAGACCTCAACTATGGGAGAGAAAAAT